GAATGTGTTTGTGTGTGTGAGTGTGTGTGAGACAGACATAGACAGATATACAACAGATGAGAGAGATAGCCAGAGCGAGAGAGGTCAAAAAAGTGGAAAAATATTACCCGATGTATGTATGAGGTAGCTGTGTTTAGCCTTTCTGCAGCATGGGAAAGCGATTAGCGATGCTATCTCCAATGGCTGCTCTGCACTCAGGTTAAGGAGGCAATAGCTACCTCAGGTCTTATTTCTAAAGATGTTGAATTTATGTTTGCTGTTCTTGGAACCTGCTCTGCTGAACAGTGTATGCCCTTGGAAAATGTTGGCTCATATTAATCTGCTGCAAATGCTTTGGTAATCCAGCACACAAGTATGCCTCCAGGTCTCATTACTCACTAACGCCACCTCAGCCTCATACCGGGATGAGTGCAGGAGGCAAGGAGACGTAACAAAAAAAGGGAATAACCCAAGTCTTCCAGCTGTGGTTCTTAAAAGAGTATGACCTTAGATTTCTCGAGCAGACTGCCAAAACAACAAGATTTTAAGAAGGGAGATGTAATTTAATGCTTAAAAGCTTTTATTTTTTGGCCTTCCTCCGACCAATTGGATAAAAACACTTTTCTATCTGGTATTACTCAAAGTGAGGTAGACTAAACAAAAACATTTATATAGGGGATAAATTAAACTGGACTTGTCTGGGTAAATGTATCAGTCCAAGCTAAGGAAAGTGGAGATACAAAATGCAAGCAAGTTGGAACCTAGAGTGATTTTTTTTTTCCTCTTTTGCATCTATGGGTACTGGATCATCACATGTCAGAACTAGAGCACACGAGCTGCCAAAAAGTTTCACAGTCAACTTTCCCCTTTGCTTTTATGAGTTTGGCACTGTCATTGAGATAGCAACCACATACATGATCAAACAGAGGAGGAGCGACAGGGGTGAGGTAGTGGTAGCAGGAATGACATCAAGCTTCTTATTCCTGTGCTACCTTCCTGTTGCTGACCTCTGACCTCTCAGTAGAAAGGCAAATGAATGCTACTCTTTTACAGAAAAACAAATGCAGATGTTTCTTTTTCTGAAGCTTTCGATCTATTTCACATCTATGGCTGTAATGAATTTCACAGATTTGCCAATGCTGTAACTGTAACTAGAGATCTTTTCTGGTATTATGGGTCAAATACCTGAATTTGGCACAGGTTAACTGTCTTTTTTCTTTTTGTCATTTACGCATTTTGGACAGCATCTTGTTAAAGCATTCTGTTAGCTAACGAACTACAAAACAGACAAAATATAGACTAAATCATCATAAGTTGGATACCATGTATATCGATTTATTACCATTGCTTAACCTCATGTGTAGTGTTGTAGTGCTCTGCAGTAGTTCTGGTGTAAGACTTTTTTGGTTGTAAATATTCAACATAAATATTCTTGTTTTATTGACTTGTTTACATGAGTAAAAGAGAAATATTCTCTTCAATTTCAACTGTTATTATTTTGTAATTTTCCCTTTTTGTTTTAACTTTATCATTCATTCATTAATTAATTAATTCATTCATTCATTCAATTATGTTCTTTTCGTGTTTGCAAGATTAGGGTGAATGTAGTATCTGTATTTGTTTGTAAAATGAAAAGCTGAATAAAGTCTTTAAAAAAACAAATTGTGTTTTGCACACATTCAAAACACACAGTCATTGCAGGTTTAAAACTGTAAAAACTCAAGAGTAATATTTCTTATAACAGATATTAATTTTAAGGATATACAAGTCTTTCTTTTTTTTAAGATCCACTCTGATGAAAATCATGTTTTTCTTGTTGTCTACATGTTCATAAGGCAATTTTCTGATGCTACAGGACATATCGTGAGAAAAATCTAGCAGACCCAAACAGCAGGTCTGACACAATGAGATTTCCTATGTAGCAAATCCAAGCTCCCGCTATGCCCCACTATGCAGACCACACTGGAAAAAATAGAGAGGACAATCGCAGAACAAATTGTGCGTTAGCGGATTGCAATTGCACAACGGCAATGTTAGGCTACAAGCTAGTGTGAAGAGGAGTGTGCAGAGCAGCGCTGTTCCCGCCACAACTCAGAGGCGAATTGCTAATGAGCTACTGGAGCTCTGCAGCAAAAAATCCCTTGAAAATGACTCAAGTAACGTGATTTGGGCTAAAAACTTAATAATCACAACTGAAAGACCACTGATAATACTTTAAAAAGTTTTTTTTAAAAAAGATCAGCGTGGGACTTTAAGAAGTCTGGTAGTCTGGTAGCTTTTGTTGATGACAGGCCATAACTCATTCAAATTACCCACTCAGGGGAGATGTGAATTCATCCTAGGAACTATTTGTTCCTATCCCTTGTTGGGCCAGGGTCATCAATAAAGATATTGTTTTTGGTATATCAAAAAAACAAAAAGAGGGGGTCAAAGGTCAGCCCCAACATTCAGCAACTGCTTTTAAGCTCTTTCTCCTTAAGAGTGCCATGCCTAATTAAACAAGCATCACTGAGTTTCAAATGTTTATGCAGGGTAACATGTAGAGACTAAAGTTTAGCCTGTAGCAAATATTTAAGATGTTGTTACCTTAAAAGATATTGTTTTAAGTTTCTGGATTATGGGAAATATATCTTTAATAAGTATTATCAGCATTTTTTATCATACCATTTTGGTGTGTTTATCATACTTGCTGACTGAACTCCCTCTGTCCTCCAGCTTAAGGGAATGACTAACTTTTTAGAGGGGTTTCTAACAAACTACCCCCAAGATATGCAATAACACATCACAAATCTGTCCATCATGCTTCCCTTTTCTTCTAAATTGTTACCACACTATACCCTTACCCTACTCCAATTAACATCTCCGCAGCACATCAGTTTCTAACTGCCATTCCTCTCTTCCAAAAATGAAAACATTCACATAAGAAGAGACAGTTTTAACAGGTGCTGAGGAAACATAATTGTCATTGCTGCAATTACTGCCTTATGCCCGACTAACAGCCATAAATCATGCTCTCTCTACAAAGAGGACGTTGTGGCGCTCCACTCCCATCCAATAATCAGAAATTGCTCCATGTATGGCGTGACGAGTGGGCGCTGAAACAGCCCATTCTTCTGTTTCACCGTCGATATCTCGCTCTCTATGGCGGCATTACAGGGATCCTTCAGCGAGCACGATATTGTACCTGCTCGACACCTGTTAGCTCTAGCCCAGGGTTTCATCAGATAGTTGAAATAAATACTAGTCATCATCATAACCATAATCATAGTCATAAAAACCAGGGGCCTTTTATGCTGTTGCCAAATTGCCCTGCCATCTGATTTACAGTCAGTTTGGGTGGGGGAGGGGAAACAGGTAGAGCAAGGAGAGGATGAAGCCTGCTACGTGCTACGAATGGAATAAATACTCAAATATACACACCTGCATACCACCCTTCACACACAAATACACACCTGGGAACCCACAGGCCTGTAATGGCTGGGGATGGGCTGGAGGGAGGAACAGTGAGGAATTCTCTTGGGACTACAAAGAGGAACTTTGTGCTCCCCTCACACATGGCGCAGCAGGTGAGTAGAGCGATAAGAGGCCAGAGGACAAATTAGCCCTCATATTAAAATAATCCCTCATGTCTAATAACAATAATATGCTCCATGTCGAGCCTGTTGCACCTCCACAATGGTCTTCCTTTTCAGGGAGAAAGTTGTTGAAAACAGTTTTGAGTGTCTATGAAATGGGCCTATAATATCTGCTTGACCTGTCAGCAGCCCTGAAATACACAGAGGATGGGGTAATAGATGCTCATAACTGAAGTAAGGAGGCTGTCTGTGAGTGCTTAAACGAGACCAGATCATGATGCAGGAAAAAGCCCAGAGTGAGTTGACAGGTTCAGATATCATCTATCACTCTGAAATATTTCAAACTTAAATAAAAAGAAAAAGTATATATATATATATGTATGATGCTGTCATCAGTGTTATCTCAGCTGGGGTTCTTCACTTCAACAACAAGCAGGTGTTGCATGATGACAGTGATGAACAAAGGAAACCATTGTTTTTGCTTTTGAGTCAAAATGTATCAAGGTGTTAAAATATTACTCTTTTACTAGCAAATATCAAATTTTTACTTAAGTTAAAGCACTGGAGTTTCTGCTTTAAACAAAAAAAGGTATTTAACCTATGAACTTCATGAAAAATTCTCAAAATATTGTGTTATAACAGTGACTGCAGTGCAGTCAGGAGTACATGGGTGCACATTCTGCTGCATCGCGTGTTTTTAATCTTATTCATGTTTTTAAAACTCACATGCAACAGGTTTGCAGCCCCATAATAGTAAAACCAACTATACAATACAAATGACAGCCAAGATACTACAAGCAATAACTGATTTAAGTGGTCATGTGAAATAAAAAAGCAACTTGCCTTTACTGGTTGGACTAGACATTTTTGTAGGATGGGATGAAGTTTGTGCACAGCATTGCAGTGACCATTTTAAATTTTAGGAAAAAGCTCAAGCATGAGTTAAACATGAGGCCATAGAGAGTTCGGTGGAGAATCCACATCCTTCTGTGCTGTAGTAATCATTGCCGCCTCTAAAAAAGATGCCTGACATTTGCATTCAACCAGAGAGACATGTTACTTATTGATACAGCATCATCAGTTAGACAAACCATATACAGACCCCCTTTTTTTGACCTGCTCCACTTTCAGAGAAGAAAAGAAAATTCCTTTAATGACTTCAGGTTCATGGCAAAAGTAGCCATTGATGAGAAGATTTATTGGAATTGAAATCACTATAACTGTCTTATAAATGTAGTGAAGTAAAAAAAAAACGTAAGTATTACTTAATTGAAGTACACATATGTCCTTGAATACAGTACAAGAGGGATTATAGGGCTAACAAGTCGAGATCCAAATGAAGTCCTACTTTCTTTTTTCTGTTGTTTTGGGTTTGAGAGGTACCACACAAAGAATATCAACAACTGAAAGACGAGAAAAGATCTAAACTACAATTAAATGAAACAGTGTGTTTTAGCAGCCAACTGATGTGTTTATTTGTGTTAATATATGGCAGACATATTGTGAAAGATAAATAAGGAGATAGCCAACTCAGTCATGTTTCTGTAAAGGAAGAGATTGGAATTAAAGTAGACACAAAGAGATCACTTTTTATCTTACGGATACCTAATCAGCTTGTTGAGGCTTTGAGAAAAGTAAAGTCATTTCAACTCCTGTGGGGTTTTAAAAACACTACCACGGTTGTGATTTTACCGTTTAACAACTCATAAAAGCCGAAGAGCACAGCTACAAAATAAATGTTGCCCAAAGGCCGTAACGATCTCTTTGCAGTCTAACAGGTTTCTGATCTGTGCAAAACTAAAAAGCATGGAAACTGTGACACTCACAAACAAAATCTAAAACATACAAAGACAAAGAAAGAAAAGCTGACTGTTGGAATGATTTTCTCATGTATTAAATTAGTACCTTAGCCCCAGAGAACTTCTAAAAAACCACACCATGTCACTTCCTTCATTGAGTTCAACTAAAATGATGTTTTGATTACAAAGTTCTATAAACTGCCAAAGACTGAAAGTGTGCATCAGTAAAAGAGGTTGAAGGCACATGAACAGTCTTTAAAATAACTACTGACCTCACTGTTTGCGCTGTCATATATATATATACACATATGATACAGTGTAAGACACATTGTGTTTAATGGCAGTGTTATTGCAATGAGAAAATTATCAATGAGATGTAACTATTACTTTCAAACAAAAAGGCAAACTATTTTTTTGTGACCAGTACACAAATGAAATGATTCAAAACAAAACAAAACAAAACAACAACAAAACAAAACAACAACAAAAAAAAACAAACAGGAAAATGTGCCAACATTTAAAATGATTTCAGTACTGATGGATGTAAACCTCTTTTTTATATATGAAATATCAAGTTTCCAAAAAAATCTCTTTAGAGCTCTTCACATGTCTTACACTAGCAGCAAAAATACAGCAAAGAAACAGATATTTACTTGTTCCTCAAAGACACCAAGGTCTCAAGCATATCAGTTCAAATACTTAACATATTGATCATGACATGATCTCAGACATCATCACAGGAAACCTCCTGATACAGAGGTGATGGAAACACTGCTCTGGAATAAGGACTTTATTCGAGACTTATAACAGTCAACGAATATCCCTTCAGTCATTAGAAGGCTCTCTCATGGTTTCTGAGTGCTCTGCATTCGCTGTTTCCTCCTGGCCAAGGCTTCCTGTTTCTTCCTCTCGATCTCAGCTGCAGAGCATTTCCCTCTCATCTGGCTTGTGACAAAAACTTGAGAGAGGAAAGAAAAAAAAAAGAATAAAAGACTGTAGGGAAAGAGGAGATCTGCTCTAATTAAAACCCCTGGATCAATGCCATGACCTTTAACCACAGAGTTTTAAATTTGTTAAGTTACAAGTGTTGCAGCCATAACTTGGACCAGTTCCTTTGTAGAGCTGAATCAGTCTGCCATTTGCAGACTGCAGAGCTTCTTGAGGTTTGGACTTTTGACAGCATAACAAATTAAAGTCATGGCGCCGTGTTTACTGCTTTGGGGGAGAATTGTAGATGGGCACATAAACTGAACTGCCAATGATTAAAAGACCAATATGTGACATCTGTTTTACTTGAGAGTTTTCACTTCAACATCCTGCCTAACAGCAGGGCACTGAGGATGGGAGAAGGACTAGACATACTGCAAAGGTGCACTGATGATCCAACAGTTTTCCTGTTCCTGTCATCCTGTATGTGTCTGTCTACTGTATGTTTCTTGGAAAGGATGAACTGTTGAGGGAATTAATAAAGGAGTATCTCATCTTATTACAAAAAACTGTGAATTATTAGTTTCTCTGGCTACAGATATTTGTCAACAGATAGAATTCTATTTTTAATCACATCATCTTCTCATTCAATGATGGTGAGTAACACCTGTGTGCAATAACAATAGAAGAGACAGCCTACCTTTGTTGTTTATCACTGCAGTATCTGATACATTTCTCTTGAAAGCAGTGTGACAGGATTTGGAGGTCTGCGGTGTCCTGGCTCTCACTGTATGTGGCATCAGGTCCAGATTATCATTCCCACCCTGGAAAGTTGCGGCTGAATCACTACGGTTAATAAATGTACCCAGACTCATGCGACTTCCCGGGAGGCTCTGTGACATCCCTGATTTGTTGTTGGCACCTTTCAAGGGAATGTTCAAACCTTGGTAGTTCCCAGCTTGACAGCTTGTCCCCGGCAATGAGTTTGAACGTACAAAAGAGCATGGAGACTTTTTATAAGCACTGGCACTTGTATTTGATGACCTGGTTGCATCGATTGGCAGAGGGGCTGAGGTTTTTCTCTGGCTATCTAAACCACTCTCTTGTTTTTTTGGGGAGATGCTAGAGCAAACTTGCTGTGGCTGACTGTTGGAGATCCTCTCCACGCTGTCACATATCTGAAAGAGCAGAGCATCATCATCATCATCCCCGTCATCCCATAAACTGTCTGGGTTGTCTCTGACAGAGCTTACAGCAGGGTAGGTCTTGTGATCATTGCTGACCTTTGCAGGCTGTGCATTCGTTGGTACCTTTGAGGACACAGATTTCTCCTCAGATATCTTTGATTTAGAGTGTAAAGCAGTCAAGTTGGACTTGGGATCTCCTTTGACAGCTGTTTTTGGCTGAAAGTGAGGGTTGGGCTGTAATTTGAAAGTGCTGCGGTTGGTAGTCTTTAGTTTGGGACACAGTTCCTGAATTTCACTACAGCTTGGCTTGGAGTGCATGTTTGGAAGCTGATGCCCAGAGTTTGTAACAGAGGGGAATTGAGGAGTGTTCGCTTTAGTGTCAGACAACCTTGTTTTAGCATTGGTGTCAAGTAGTTGGTCAGGATTCTGGGTAATCGCCAGCACAAAAGAGTCATTCAGTAGGTCATCATTCTCCCAGTCGTCATCAAAGTCACCGCGAACACCAGGAGGTCCTTTTGCACGAGCAGGCTGTGATGGGTCAGATTTGTCAGACATCTTTTGCTCTGATTGTCGAGGTTCAGCCAAAGCTGAAGTCTCAGGTTGCTTTTTTACTTCCTGTGAGCATGAAGATCCCTGGCTTAGTCGACCACTGACTTTCTGAGTGGAGCAGTCAAACAGAGCATGCAGCTCTGCCTCAGCCTGATCCGATGAGGACAGACACTTTGAATCCTTCGCATTGGCAGAGAGTGATGTCTCGACCAGCTTAGCTTCTGATGTGTCCTCAGGTTCAGTGGGGTTGTTGTTTACAGGGTTAAGCTGCTCTGAAATCTCCTTGTCTTGCTGCATGTTTTTGTCAAACTGCCGGGCCAGTTTCATGAGGTCCTCCACACTGCTCTGCCTGCAGAGAGAAAACCAAATCAGAGAAAAAGGTCAACAATCCAGTGCAGGCAGAGACAGCAAAAATACTTTGACCTATGAAGAGTCAATATTGGCGAAAATTTGGTCAGCATATATGTTCAACAGCACGACGTGAAAGAAAAGATCAGAACCACTATGAATGACTTTGACAGTCACCACCAGTGAGCATCACAGTCATCAAGTTGAAAACATACCGGGATGATCTTTTCCTGGTTCTTGGCTTGGGAACGTCCGGTGTGCAAGGTACAGCGCTGTCACCTATCCACTGTAGCAGAGGAGACTCAGTCCCTTTCGGTTTCACATCCTACACAAATAAAAGGATGAAATATAAACTAAATAAATGGTTTATTATGCTTTTCTATATTTGCAAGAACAAAAAAGCAAAATTACAATTTTTGGTGTCCATACTAGATGCATAATTTCAAATTGAAGGGGAGACGTATGTTATCATAACCTTATAAAATAGAGCAGCAGCTTTAATGAAGTATTTTAGACAGAGGCCAAAATAATGGTATTTCAGTACACTACTGAGAGAGACATCAGGCTTTTTGATCTGAGGATCCTGTCAAGCTATTAAAGAGCTATCAAAAAGGAAGTATAAGAGGCTGAAAAAAATGCACCAATACCCCCTCTTAAAGATATCATCTGACCAAGTTGATTCAATGGTAGGGTTGGTGTAACATTTAAAGAGACAAAGCTAACCCTCGGAGCAATCCGGTTGACAATGTCTGATATCTCCAAAACCCTGGTATTCCTGGGCCCTGAAAAAAAAACACAGACGTAGACATTACTCTACTAACAGCATCAAAACAAGTGTCTTATTTATTAAACAACTGCTGAGAGGGAACATGTCATTTCCTTTAGAACAGCAAAGTAAAAGAGCAGATAACATGTGAAGCAGATGTGCGGGTTATAATTATTGTAAAACCTGAGATTGAGACTAATGAAGTGTCAATTAATTTCTAACCAGCATTCGCCGGGGTGGGAGATGTAGGATCCCAGAAAATGTCCTGCGATGGTTCCACATCACCTGGTGAGTCCCCATTATTCAAGCTGAGCAATTTGCTGTATCCTTTGTGCTGTGGGCTCTGCAAATCTGTGTCAAATACAAATCAAACATCAAATCATCTAAACAAAACAATCTCAGCCCTTTGATTTGGTTACACTTGTTCTAGCTCACTTAACTGCATACATTAGCTGACTGGTACATATCTTTACTTATAATAATGTCGATCTTATTTCATCTGCTGACGAGAAGGTTAAAAAAAAATTGCTGTTAGCAGTTTGTCATGACACTGGTGTAAAATTACCAACTTCTAGCAAACTGCTTATATGAAAAGATGGTAGCATTGTTGAGCTCAACTCAACTCAACTCAACTTTATTTGTAAAGCACTTTAAAACAACCACAGCTGAACAAAGTGCTACATAAAAAGACAAAACAACGCAGACATAAAAAACAATCAAAAAACAATTAAAACAATGGATAAAATAAAAGCAGATATTAAAAAGTAAAATATAGTTTCAATGTTTTTAAAAACTAATTTAAAAACATAGAAACAAATAACTAAAAACAAACCATAAAACACTAAAACAGGAGCCGAGTCTCATGCAGGGTTGAAAGCCAATGAATAAAAATGGGTTTTAAGACGAGTTTTAAAATTTGACAGTGTGGGGGCTAGTCTGATTTGGAGGGGTAGCTCGTTCCATAACTTTGGGGCAGCAACAGAAAAAGATCTGTCCCCTCTGAGCTTCAGTTTGGACCTCGGTACCTCCAGGAGCAGCTGATCAGCTGACCTGAGGCACAGCAGATAGCCTGGCTGGGCCATCCAGTTGCGTGAATCACTTGCCGTTCCTTCCCACAACAGTAACACAACAGTACAATAGTCCTGAATGCCAAGGAAGGATGTGGTTAAGTCTAATCAAATTGTCAATGACATTATTGGACAAACAAAAAAATTGTATCAAAACAGCGCCCCAACACTTATCTACGTTTTTTTTTTTTTTTAGTGTTTGGCAGTGAGTGTTATTTATTCAGTCACCAAGGTAACCCACACTGGACAACACCATCAACATCTAGGACGCTTGTAGCCTATTGATGAAAAGTTTTGTGCACATGGTAAAACTTTTTAAAATCACCAGTCTTATCGTCTGCTATCGATGGCTGATTTAACCGGCACACAGCCTCACCTTTATGCAGGGGAGACTGTGGATCTGTAGACACCCGCACTCCTGTTTTATTCCCGTCCTGCATTTCACTGTGACAGAGTTTGGAGACGCTCCCCCACAGCTCTCTGAACTCTGAAGTGTTGCCAGCTCGCTCCGACATTCTTCCACATCACGACAGGAACGCGAAACGTCTGCTCAACATTTTCGTATACACTTTAGCTCAGAAATACTCGAACAAAACTTTCTATTCGATGTTTGTTCTGCTTTCACCAAACGCTTTCACTGTTTTCATGCAACAAACCCATTCACTCAACGTACGCCGCCATGTTTGACTGCGACGTCATCAAAGTACGGGTACCGGGCAGGGTATCCTCCGTTCTCCTGCTTAAGCTTCCTGTGGACGGCTTTGCATTGGCTTTTGTAAGGTCAGCATAAAACCTGTGTAGTAGTATTTCTGTCAGAGTGAGCGGCTGTCCGTTGCTTCAACATTCTTTGAGGACTACCACCAGGCAAAGTGTACTTGTTCTGGAAAACTACTCAGATTTGTTCATGGACTTGTTGACAGTTTGACAAAATAGGTCTGCTTGCAATGGTGAAGTTAAGCCAGATCAACCACAGAGGTCCTGCTAATAACATAATGTCACATTCTTAAGTGCCTCCAACAACTTATCTCATTTTATGCTACTTTGGATACACTATCCACCAAAATCTACAGCACAATGCTCATGCCCGCTTTTTTTGGAATCCTAGTCATAAATTAAACAGGCAGTATTAAATCTAAGCTGTTTTTTTTTTTTCTTTCTTTTTTTTTTTCTGAAGAATTTCAAGTTGTGGCTTCAAAAGGCTTCAAAATAGTTTTACCTTAGTTTACTATAGTTTGTCCTGAAGCTGTTGTTTTGTGTCTGTAAGAAAGCCTTGCTGTCTATCTTAATTGCATACCTTTGTCAAATACATTTATAAAACTTTTGGCAAATGATTAATATTGTTCTTAAACAAATGTATTAGAAATTCATATGGTACAGGCTTTAAATAAAGGTGAAAGTATGTCAGCAACTAATAATACATTTTTGACAGTTAATATTGTTCCTTTAAAATTGCAGCTGTAACAGACAAACGCAAAAGCAAAGATTGGTTATTACTGTTTGGTTACCATGTGTGCCTGTGCACAAGCTGGATGCAGTGATTCACAGAAAGCCTTTTAATTTTTTGGTTTGACAAATATTCATTGAGTTACGGGTAAAGCATTATGAATAAAGATCAATGTGATGTGTTCAATGTGATCAAATCAGGAGGTAGGAAGTCTACTAAATCTTCACAACCTAGAATTTCCTCACAGTCCCTAAACTCAGCCACAAAGACACTTCTCCCTCTTTAGTGGATAATTTTTAAAACAGCCCTCTTCTGTCAACTTCTGCACAGTAGAAGTCAAACATCCAAGTGAAGTTACTCAAAGTAAGCACATTCTACAGAGGAAGGCTCTTTAGTGATGGTCATCAGATTATTACCAATCTAATCTAAGGTGACTGCTTTAAAGCCAAGAGATGAAAGGTCAAAAAACTATTAATACATTACAGGACAGTTTTGTTTTAGCTAAGGTGTCTGATGTGCCAGTGGCTGATTTCTTATGAAGAATTGAAAGCCAAAACTTTATCTTTTAAGCAATGTTGTATAATCTTGTAATTTAAAGACATTTGTTGAGCATGACGTTAACTTCTGAGTATTTTAAACAAGACTTGCTTCATACCCTTCTCTTTAAATACTTTTATGGTTGTTTATTAGCATTTAAGTTAAAAGTATTTGAGTTTTATGGGGTTTAATTCAGAGCTGCTGTTGCCAACGGATTATTTGAAAAAAAGAGGGAAAGAATTTGGTCAGCCAGTTTTATTATGGGAAAAGCCCTTAACTACAATTATTGCCTTCTTTAAACTTTACAGTGCATCAAAGTCAGGCATCTTCAGGTCATGAGATTTCTTTAGGACCACTGGCATTTGAGCTAAGCAAACAATCAGGGATTTGGCTTTTTGCATTTCTTCAAATCTGATAAATAATTGCCACAGTGGTAAGAGGCTAGTTGATTATTCCAGATTAGTTCTTACATTTTTGAAACAAGTCCATGGTTCCACAATCATCATCTTGTTATCTGTGAAAGTTGAGGGAAAGAGGCCTATGACATTATTTTTAAACCAGTGGATTCAGATTTTCCACGGACAACACTGTGACCTCTAATCAAGAATTTAAATAAAGTCTGTTTAACTGCAGAAAATTCAGCATTTTAGCCTCTTGTGCCTTAAAGGCAACCAGACTTTTAAGGAGAGGTTTGTGGAGACTTACAAATCATGCTTGAACGTGTTGGAAACATTTTTCTCTCACATAAGTTGTATGACTCATGACTGTATTTCACCAGCCAGGTCAGGGAAAATAAGTACATTGTAAAATCGGTTGCAGATTGCATAAAAGAAAAATGTTCAAAGGTGATGGGTTTGTTTATGATTGTATCCTGATGCATAACTGTGTTACTATCTTGCTGCATTAAGATATGTGTCACAATAACATCAAGTCATTAGGGAAAAAAATATTGAAAACAGAAAACACTGTGGGTTGTTCATCGCACATCTCACTTTGTGTTGAGCAGTTTCCAGAATAAAGCACTAGATGGTGCTTGTATACCTCCTTGGTATTGTGTGTGTGTGTGTGTGTGTGTGTGTGTGTGTGTGTGTGTGTGTGTGTGTGTGTGTGTTTGTGTTTGGAGACGATGCAGGAAAATTTTGTTGCTGCTAAAATAGTCAACAACATATGCACATTCACTCACATGCACACACACAAACACACACATTACTGCGAATTACGAGGCTTGATTAGTCTTGATTCTGCTTTGATTGTTTTCATTTGGAAGCACTTTATCAATGTGCAGATTTAGGAGAGCCAATCAGCTTTGTTCCTTTGATTGGATGCCAGAAATTGTTAAAGAAAAGAGGACATGTAGTTGGAGCCTTTACTTCCCTGGTTAAAGCATAATTCTTGTTTCATCAAAACATCAGTAGATAGTTTGCCACTGCCAACAGTTGATGCATGGTAGTGGAGGGCAGCTGTAATGTATGGCAGCAATTTTAAAAACTCTTGCTCATTTAATGTCGCAGGACAAATTTAGAGATCCCCTAGTCATTTGAACTTATATAAATGTGCAAAAGTTTTTGTGGTCATTATCATAGAAAGAAAGGCATTTCAAATGCTGAAGTTTACAGCCAAAAAGAGGGGAAAAATAAGCTCAAGTAAGATAAACCATAGCACTGGGACTAAAGTCTCCATTTGTGTTCAAAATCTAACAAAAAATTACACATTTAGCGCGCAAGTCATCATAGACTCCCTACTACAAGCCAAATTTATTTTTATTTTTTTACATCTTTTTCTTCAGTACCAGTAAATTTCTGGAAAATTTCAGGAACTTTGACACTGACTTAGATTTTCATACAGACATTTGAAGATGGAAGGAAAGGGGTTAAGAGTGAATGGGAGGTAGGTTGTGCGGGATCTCAGGATGTTTCAGTATGTTTCAATTTACAATATATCTTATTCTCCTGATTTTTGTTCCCCCAACTCCTGACATTTATGTGTCTGTTTGAATATTCACCACTGTGTTATGGTCAATGACAAGAAAAAAATAATCTCAAAAATTTTACAAAGACAGAGAAATACATTTTTGCAAGGGTTTAACTTTTACCTCAGCCCAAAGAGTAAAGGAACATATTAACAGCATCAACAGAGGAGCAAAAAGGAACTTACTGGAGAGGAGAATAGAGTGTAAGGCGGTCTTACTACCTTTTGAGTACTCTTTTTTTGATTCAGTATCTCAGGCACTTGTCACCAGTGGGAATATTATATGATTATATAATATTGATAAACATTTTTTAAAAAGTGTAAATACAAACGGTTACACTTTTCAGCAAAGCATACGGACCATAACATTAACTGCATGATGTAAATGTCATTATCCCCACACACCCCTGAATATGCTTACAGTGAACTGTCCAGAAGATTCTGTGCTGCCTTCTTATAAGGGCTCATCTAGAATTTAAAAGAAAATGATACTAGGGGGCTGATTGGAAATATTTCGAGTCAAGTTGGGGCTGTTTGTGCCCACTCATAGGGCTCAGCCCGGTGATCTCCAGAAATTTTCCGGTACTTAGTGCATGTCTTTCAAAGGTGTTAGTTAAGAATTCATACAAGCTGCAAGGGGGAAAGTCTGATGTTCCTGAAGCCCTACAGAAAAAATTGGGAACTATTGCAGTGGCCTTTTTTTTTAAACCAGAAAATTTGAAGGAACACGTCCTGTTTGAAGAGTAAAAGAGAGCCTTAAACAGAAAAAAGCAGCTAATCCTTACATTAGATTCACAACCTGGAAGCTTGAACCAGTGAAACAGTGGCTATCTTTACAGCATTGAATGATTCTTCTTTGAAACAGTTGTATTTTTATTATTCGATATTTTTGCTAATTGCTTTAATGCCTTTTGACCTCACAATCAATTGACATTACCTGAAAGCGATTTGATATTTCATAGAAATTTATTTCATTTACCCTCTGTGCCTTTTCCTAGATAAGCATGTCTTCTATGATGCACATTTAAGCCTATGGGCCATTGTTATGTTAGTGGCGTAGCTGTTGTCAATGTAAAACAGGTTAACTGGAACTGCCAGTTTGGATGTAATAACGATTTAATCAACATTTAGCTACGTTTCATGCCTCCCTTTAATGCATTCAGCTAATCTTGAGGGTATCCCCATTGCTCTGTCAAGCAAGCTGTGTCATATCACGCTGCCACGCAAATCCACGCCTGGGGGCGCCGTCTCCTGCCCGTCTAAAAGTCACCGTAACACCCTCTGTCACACTGAATGTTAGCATTTCTCTGAAGTGATAGTTAGACCACCGAATAAAGGGCATGGATGTGTCACCTTCGATTTGAATATGAGGCTTCAGCCCTCTGCTGCCTTGTGTTTTTACCCGCTCTGTCTTTCCTCCGCCTACATAAGCCTTTCCAAGCCGTGTCACGGCAGAAAAAAAATGCCAAAGGCTGCAAAAGGGAGGAAAGAAGAAGAGCAGTTCAGCTCGAATTCTCCAAGCTAGCTTGATTCTCTCCCAGAAGCCTGTCTCGTCACCTAACCACCTACTGCCGTCTTCTATTTATTGGTTACGCCTGGGTTGTTTAGAAGCAATTAAGGAGCTAATTGTGGAGATTTCTGAGTACCGGGTATTATAGTAAAAAGTAAAGAGCTAATGGCTAATTGCCCAAGCAGCTGCTAGTGTTTATGAAGGAGGAGTGAACATGCCAGGGGATCTAC